CTCTTGGCAGCTCACACCAGGTGCCGGCTGCTCATGGTAGCTTACGGGAGCCCACTGCAGTTCCACTGCAGCCTATGCCGTCGCCGCATCCCAGCTCCAGGTCCAGCTGTTGTTCACCATCTTAGCTGTAGAGGGTGCAGCGTCACTGGCCCTCATGTGGGATCCGAACAGGGGCCCTGCTGCTCAGAGCTGGCGTCCCAAGCCAGCTCTTAACCAACGCACCACTCGGCCCGCCTGACACTGGTACAATTTAGACACTCCAGGTCACCTTATGTGCACATTTTTGGGATGTGGGAGGAAACCGGAGTTCCTGGAGGAAACCTGCGCAGATGTCAGGAGAACATGCAAACTCTACACAGATAGTGGTCCTGGCCATAACTTATTTTCCACCCTCATTAACATTATAATAAAACGATGTTATTCGAGGACCTGCTGTATATGATTTGTGTACTTAAAAACAAAACATATTCTTTCTGCCTGTGGATGAGGGTGAGTAAGCATTGTTCATCTCCCCTCCCACTGCTGTAATTTCTAAGTCAGTTTCCCAAAGATCTCAAACGGCTGCAGAAGCTGTTTTTTAAATTTTATTTATTTTAAAGATTTTTTATTGGGCTGGCCAAGTGGCTTACTTGGTTAACAGCATGAGCTCTGGGCAACAGGATTGCTGTTTCGATTCCCACATGGGTCAGTGAGCTGCGCCCGAGGTGAGCTGCCGTTGAGCTGCCAACAGGTGGCAGGATGGCTCAGCTGCTGAGAGCACGTGCTGCTAACAACAAGGTTGCCGGTTTAACTCCCACATGGGATTGTGGGTTGTGCCCACCCGCAACTAAGATTGAACACGGCACCTTGAGCTGAGAGGTCGTGAGTTGCTGACGGGTGGCCAGATGGCAACTGGACTTGGAGCTGAGCTAGCTGTGCCCTCCACAACTAAGACTGAAGGACAACAACTTGGCTGTTCCTCTTCCCCAATTTCCCAACACTGTTCCCCTTCCCCAGTTCCCCAATAAAGTATCTTTAAAAATTTTTTTTAATTAAAATATAGCTAACATACAATATATTAGTTTCAGGTGTATGTCATAGTTATCCAACAGTACCCACCTAGCTCTATATGGAGTTATTACCACATTATTGATTATGTTCCCTATACTAAAGAAGTGATCACCGTAAGTCCAGCAACCAACTGACACTGTACCATGCTATGATAGTATTATTAATCTCCTCTACCTTTAAAATTTCTTCAATTAGTTAACATTCAATATTATTTTATATTAGTTTCAAGTGCATAGCATAGTGGTTAGACATTTATATAATTTAGGATGTGATCCCCCTGACTAGTACCACCTGGCACTATATACAGTTATTACCATATCATTGGCTATATTCACTATGCTTTACATCCCCATGACCATTTTATAACTATCAATTTGTACCTCTAATGCCTTCATTTTTTTTACCCTGCCCAACACACTTCCCATCTATCGCCTTAATAAATCTAGTACCCATCTGACACCATGCATAGTTGTAATAATATTATGGACCATATTCCTTATGCTACACCCTACATTGGTTGTTGACTACTGTATAACAACCAATTTGTACTTCTTAATCCCCTCCCCTTTTTACTCACCCCCAAACCCCCTCCCATCCCGCTGCAGAAGCTCTTCATGAGAGCATTGAGCTTTGAAACAACCGATGAGTCTGTGGAGCTATTTTGAGCCATGGGGAATGCTCACAGACTGTGGTAAAAAGATCCAAACAAGTGCTCCAGGGGCTTTGGGTTTGTCACCTTTGCCACTGTGGAGGGGGTGGATGCAGCCATGAATGCAAGGCCACACGAGGCGGATAGAAGAGTTGTGGAACCAAAGAGGTCTGTCTCAAGAGAAGATTCTCAAAGACCTGCTGCCCACTTCACTGTGAGAAAGATTTTTGTGGGTGGTATTAAAGAAAACACTGAAGAACATCATCTAAGAGATGATTTTGAAGAGTGTAGGAAAATCGAAGTGATTGAAATCATGACCGGCTGAGGCTGTAGCACAAAGAGAGGTTTTGCTTTTGTGAACTTTTAGAACTATGACTCTGTAGACAAACTGTCACTCAGGAATACTATACTATGAATGGCCACAACTGTGAAGTGAGGAAAGCGCTCTATAAGGAAGAGATGGCTAGTGCTTCATCCAGCTAGAGGTCGAGTGGTTCTGGAAACTTTGGTGGTGACCTGGAGGTGGTTTTGGTGGGAATGACAACTTTGTTCATGGAGGAACTTCACTGGTCGAAGTGGCTTTGGTGGCAGTCGTGGTAGTGGAGGATATGGTGGCAGTGTGGATGGCTATAATGGATTTGGTAATGATGGAAGCAATTTTGGAGGTGGCGGAAGCTACTATGATTTTGGCAATTACAATTTCAAATTCTGGACCCAAAAGGGAGGAAACTTTGGAGGCAGGGGCTCTGGCCTCTATAGTGGAGGAGGCCAATATTTTGCCAAACCATGACACCTAGATGGCTATGACAGTTCCAGCAGCAGCTATGACATGGCAGAAGGTATTAATTATTGCCAGGAAACAAACTTTAGCAAGACAGCCAGAGAAATGACAGGGAAGCTACAGATTAAAACAGATTTGTGAACTCAACCAAGTACAGCGGTGGCAGGTTCTCATGGCTACAAAGAAGACATTTTAGACAATATTCGTGTATATGGGTGACAAACTCAAGGACTGTGACTAACTGTATACAGGTTATTTTAGTTTCTGTTCTGTGCAAAGTGTAAAACATTCCAACAAAGGGTTTTCAATACAGATTTTTGCATCCATGCTGTTGATTGCTAAATGTAATAGTCTGATTATGATACTGAATAAACGTGTCTTTAAAAAAACCATAAAAATGTCATAAGTTGCTCATGGAGAGAGAAATAGCGACAGAGAGGAGATAGGTCATTGAGGGACAAATTCTAACCTTCTGATAGTGGCCACTTCTAGAATGGGGATGGAGGATGTAGCAGGGACCGACAGTTTAATGGGACTTGGGTGATATCTGTAATGTTTTATTTCTTCTAAACATGACTGGAAGCAAATTGAAAATTATTAACTCTTGTCAATGCTGGGTGGTGTAAATATGGGTGCTTGTTATGTTGTTCTTTGCTCTTTGCTGCAATTTTCATGTTTTATAAAAACCAACAAAAATCCTGTCTTTTCAACCTTATCCTCTCTGCATTTGTACCTGTATCATAAAACTTATCTGTCTGCCTCCTCTCAGTTTCTGACCCACAGTGTCTGTCTCCTCCACCTGCTCATAACCTTCCAGAGGACTGGATGATAGCTTGTGCCACAGGGTAACCCAGTGAGTCACGATACATTGATCTATTCAATAAGGAGAGATTGAGTGCTGCCTGTGTGCCGGGGCTGGGCAAGGAGCTGGGGAGAGCAAACGAGACCTTGGCCTCCTGAAGTTCACAGGGTAGTTAGTGAGGGACCAGGCCAGTGAGCAGGAAGTTCTGAGGGTGGGGAGTGCATAGGCAGGGAATGAAGTGGTGGGGCAGAGATGAGAGGTGGTGGTAAGTGCTATAACAGCATCGTAAGGAAGATGTAGAATGGGAAGGAACACACAATTTTGAAGTTATTTGGGCAGGCAAAGATCTGAAAAGATCTGAATAAAGTGCCTGAGGGAACCATGTAGAAATGCGGGAGGGCATTGCAGGCACAGGGGGACAGCAAGTGAACATATCATAAGGGGGGAGTATGTCTGGTCTGTTCAAGGAATTGCAAAGGGTCCACGTGTAAGTTCTATTCAAATTGCTTCTATCTCAGGGAAATGTGAAAGCAGAGAGTAAGGGTGGAGAAGACACTTGAAGTTTGAGAGGTTATGACTCACCTATGACCCTGAATGTTGCTTGATGAACTAGGAATTTTCTAGAACCCTTCTGAAGCGAAATCCCAGAAGGAACTGCAGAAATGAGGTCTCTATTACAGGAAGAGGGCAGGACACCAGGGAGGACTCTTAAGCCAATTTGGACTAGTCCTCTTATTCTCAGGAGGACCTACCAACGCTAAACTTCTGTGATGGAAGACGCTAAACGAATTAACACTGCCTTAAATGATACCTAGCCTACCTTTTAAACAAAGAAAAGGTGTAGGAAGAGTACTCTTCTCCAAGTAACTGAAACCAAACGGAGAGACAGCTAGCTGTCAGCAGAATGCTCTCCAAGTGTAAAAGACGGCATGGGCAGAATGCTTTATTGTAGAATTCCAAGGATTGGAAGAAGGCCCAGAAAGGAAACTGGATTCTGCTTTTCCTCTGGACAGAGGAAGAACCACCTCAGGAATCATCTTTCTGGAGCATGTCAGTGTGGTTTTGAGAGCCATGTTTTCAGTCATTCTTTTACCAGTTTCCACTGGTTAAATAGAGTTGAGAATCAGAAGACTCACAGCCTAACTGGGTGTACAGCTGGGAAGGATCTAAAGGGCGAGAACTTTCTTTAAAGTAAATGAATGTGCTCCATTATATTTGTACTCTCCTAATAGTCTCTTTAGCAAGCCAGTTTCTTATTCCAAATAGGTAGCTAATATTGGAAACATATCTTGACCAGAATTTGTAACTGCCTTTGGAATTCCTGGCCATGTGAGAAAAGAACTTGAACTATTTAAAAATCATACCTAAAATACTTGCTCAGCAACCCTACCCTACTTAACTGGGTATGTCTTGGATCTGAATGCATCTCTGCCATTTCCAAATACCACATTCCCTCACAAGAGATGACCTGCCACCACTAAGTAAATTGAAAAAGCTCCACTGCAGGCTCAGGCCACTCACAGGTGGACATCTACACATGTTCTGGGCACAGGACAGTCCTCAGAAATTGGCGACCACTTTGGAAGGGATAATGCTTGTTGTGATGATAATTTTGAAATTGTCTATTTAAAGAAATACAACCTTATGACATTAGCAGTCAAAATTTTAACTTATTTCTAAGCCATAAGAAATAAGAAAATAACAGCCTTGTTATTTGAAAGGTTTTCAAAAAAAATTTTTTTTTATTTTCATAAATTAACACACATAACAGTGGGAATTTTAGAGTCACAAACTACCAAACAGAAAAGGAACTGCAGGGGCATCGTGTATGCCAATGTTACCAAAAAAAATGTACAAATTTCACTGAACTATTGACCATGATAATATATAAACACAGGCAGCTATTTACTGGCCCAGACCAGCCCAAGGAGATGCTGAGGCCTCTCACCAAGAATTCAAATCCAATTCAGCACCAGAGAGGGGCTCGTAGACATACAATGAACAAGCTTCAAATCTGAGTATGCTGTGCTCGAGGGCGGGCTTCATGGGGCCCCTAAGTTCACAGTCAAAATAGCCGTTGCTGCTGGATTTGTGGCTAGATGATACCATTAAATTTCATTTTGGTAAAATTGAGCCTTCCTCCTTAGCCAGCTTTTTACATAAGTTCAGTTGTGGTAAGGAGCCCTATCCTTGCATGAATCCAGGAAAGGTTGCTCCGCACCTCTGGCCAATTATTTAGACTTTGGATATAGCCACCCACAACGTGGTGTTTAAGAGGTCCTTTCCATGATACCGGAGGAGGGAAGAGGGAACTTACAGAAACAAAATGAGGGAATTAAAGGAAGCACCAACTGCATACTCCCCCACCACCCCAGTAATGGGAGAACAGCATCGCTGCCTAGAAGTTGGTCTTTCGCGGACCTTAATGTACACGACATTGATTATAAGATGGGATTCCAGCCTGGAGACGAATGCTGGCTTTGTGTTCCATTAGGTTGCACCAAAGTGTGGAGTCTGCGGCCTGGGTTCTGCACACTTGGTGTAGCTCTTGGCCTGGTGGGCTGGGAATGAGCCAGTGAGGGAGGATCACGCCCAGAGGGTGGGAACTGGAATTTACCTCAGGTTGGCTCTGGCATCCGCTCAAAAAACTCTTTCAGGCAAAATTGTGACAAAGTGTCATGATTTTCACAGCTCTTAGAGGAGCGCTGAGTTTTGGGATTCACAGCATGAGTTTCTGAGTTCTTCAGGCTCCAAGTAAGGCAAATGCTACATATCTTTCCACTGTACCTCCCTCAGCTGTAGCTATCAGAGTAAGGTCAGTAAGAAAAAGTGGACATAATCTGCTTTAACAGGTAATAATCAGGTACGTTTAAACTAAAGGAGAAATGAAGCTGGAAAGGAGACCAAAAGGAGAGGAAAGTGGGTGGGGGAGGCAAATATAGCTATAAACTGAAAGATGAAAAAAACCATAGTTGATAGTTTCAGTGAAAAACTGATGGGCAGAACCCTGATTGGACCTGAGATTTGTCCTCTTTCCCATATTAACAACATTAAACTGCCAGAACTGAGTAAGTTAGTTAATTATAACTATATTGGTGGAAAGTCCCCAAATTCAGAAATTGTACCAACTCCCACTCCAGAACCAGACCTGTAGCTCTGGGCAGGTGGCGTGCCAGCAGCCAACTAATGTTTCCCATCGGGGGCAGGTGCCACAGACAGCACTACAGCTTGTTAGGCCGATGTGAAAATATCAATAGATGTTAAGACAGGTGGGGCTGAGCATGGCTAGAACCAGATGTACCAGCTTCAGGTAAGCAATTTCAAGTTTGCAGTGGGGGCTCTTTCTTAACTTTGGAGCAGGGGAAGGGCCCTAGCCAGAGGGCAGGCCAAGAATTTCAAGGACAGACAGGGCTGGCCTCAGAGCAGCTTCTTTCTTACATTTCCCAGGACACGGAAGGAGCCCAGGTCTCCATTTCCTCCAATTCTCCCTTCCCAGACGCCAATGTTCCAAATCATTGCTCCTGGCCCTAGCTAGTGAATGCCATGCCTGTAATGGCCAAAGTTGAAGTCAGATCTCTGTAATGTTGGTGATAATCAGAGTTGTGCCCACCTCAACTTCAGTCTGTGGGATGACATGGGTGCCACATTGCTGACATGTCTACACTAGCAATGGAGCTAGCAGCAAACAGGGCTCTGTTGACTCACCAGGAGTTTGCAAGCTTGTCCAGCAGGAGTTCCCTAAAAACGTTTGTACAAGGGCACAATGTATTACTCATCCCACTCCCTTAAGCAAAGAGACAGAGAGAAGCGGTTAGTGTCTAAGGACCCTGTCCCAGGAAGGGAGGGGGATGAGGTGAAACACAGGTCATGTCCATACAGTCTGGGCAAAGTGAATTTAGAATGGCAGAATCTGGTTCACATCTTTCTGAGCCAATGTGGAAACTTGGCTCTCTCCTACTGCTATTTGGCCATGGCCTTAGAAACCTCCGTGTAGTACCAGGTGTGTATTTCACTTACTAAATGCTATGTCTGAATTAGTGAGCCTCAAAGACAGATGTGGCACTTGGTTTTTTTCCTTGTTCATGTCAGTTTTTCTGCTCCAGTGTGGCACAGACCATCAACCTGCAAAGGAAAGGCACATAGAGACTCCCCCTCCCACCCCCCCACCCCCCCCACTAATAAATGGGGAAACAAAAAAAACCCTAGAAGACACGTTCCAGGATGGCACCACTCATTCTCCTCTAACAGACTTAACTTTAAAAAGTCTCTGGAGCTTTCACAGTTCCCATTGGCGGCTGCTTCCCAGCAGTGGCTCCTAGGAAAATGGGAAGAGGTGACCAGTGTCCTGAGGCTGGGTCTAGCATCCCACTCACCAGCCAAGGAATGTTAATTCTCTGAACTCTTGTTTTGCGCGCAAGCAAAAAGGGTAACACAAGGGAAGGAGGGGAGAGGAAGCAGGATGAGAGGGCACACAAGGGTTAGTAGAAAAGGAATGAAAACATCTGGGCCTACTGACCCACACAGCATCCTTCTGCCCAGACTCTTGTGGGCACACAAGAAGAAACTCAGCAAACTCTGGCATTCTACAAAATTTCCAGTAGGTTTGACACAGGAGCCCCGAGTACAATGAGGTGTTCTCAGAGAGGGCTGGCCATGGAATTCATGATCCCACCACAAGAAGGCATCACTGGGTTTGAACCACGGTCTGTTGCCTCTTCCCACTCTCAGAGCAGGTTGCTCTGACAGCTGCAAACACTCTGGGTTGGTCTCTATCACTGCCCAAGCTGTGGTACCCAACTTTCTTACATACCAACACTTCAGGTAAAACTCATAAGACCACACCCAACCTTTGCACTTTTTTAATGACTGGGAGAGAAACCTGCTCTTACTTCTGTCATTAAAACAAATATATCTACTCAGTGGGCAAGAACGAGAACCCAGATGAAAAAAGTACTCCCTCTAATGCATTACACTAGAAGGTGGAGGTGGGGAAGGGATTACACGTTAATGGAAAAACATCTCTCCGCTGTCCCATACCATGCACTGATAAACTGGGTCAAATGCCTATCATATATACTGAAGACATATACTGTCCTTTTCCTCAATGCCTTAAAAAATTTGTTTTAAAATCACATTTAAAGGCTCCAAACATGCAGCAATAAAAAAAAAAAGAGGAAATAAAACAAATGAAATTAACATCACAACATTAAAAAGTGCAACTTACTTCGAGTGGGGCCTGGATGGGCTCCTCTGGCACTAGTGACCCAAAGTCACAGAGGGGAGAAAAAAAAATGATAGGAAAAAGCATCATACACACACACGCTCTCTCTCTCTCTCTCACTCCCTCAAGGTTCTGGGCAGATGAACTCAAAGGATTAGAAAACATACAAGCCCATCTTTCCTTGACTACTGAAATGAGTAGGTGAGACCACGCAGGACAGGACGCCAGGCCCCCCTCCCTAGGCAATGTCTCTACATAATCTTGGTCTAGCACCACCGTAAACAACACAGAGCTTTCACATGGGCGTGCAAATGCGGTGAGTCCTTGGAATCCTAGTGTTACTGAAGGTATGCTGTGTCCTCTTCCTGTGGATGGCAGAGTGGGAGGAGGAGGCCAGATGTCATTCAGGACCATTTCCAGGAGAAAGAGAGCATTCCTGAGGTTCTATACTCAGCAGTAGAAGTGGAGGATCCTCTTTCACCAGTTCCTCAAAAGGCTGCATTTTGAAAACAGGTAAAAATCCATGGACTGCATTTTGAGTGATTTGGGTATTGGGCAAAGTTAGGCAACCCCTTCCAAGGAGGCCCAGCAAATCTAACATTGAGACCCTGAAACCAAATTGCTTCTCAACAACCAGACGATTGCTCCTGCTCCTCTTCCTTGGCAAAGAAGGTCTCCAGTTCCATTAGTTTCTGTATCAAAAGGGCGTCCAGTTCTCGACTCTGCAGCGCCGCCTTCTGGGCCCTGGTGAAGCTGCCTGTCACCTTGACCTTACCACGAGCTCTCCTCTTTCGTGGGACTGTAAAATCCTGAAATTCTAGAACTCGCTTCCTCTTCTGTTGGCTGATGGAGATTAGTGTACCATTTCGTTCCTTAGGTTCCTCAAAGATGGTCTCTAAACACCTAAGGGGGAAGCACAATCAGAATCACCACCGCTCTGACTCACCTGTCTAGTCATGGGGGCTAAAAGCTAATTGCACTAACAACTCCTTACTTAACTGTTGTTTCCTCTGGCCAGTTATCGTTTTTTGTATATATGTGTATATGTGTGTGACACACACACACATGAATATGTACTATATATGCACGTAGTGAAAAAACTGAAATTGGACAAAAGGGTAAAAAATAAGACTAAGACCAACCCGCCATAGACAACACGAGCAATAGTTCTTTTGTGTATCCTTCCGAGTCATTCAATGTACAGACATGCATAAATGAGCATATATTATCAGAAGTCAGTGCTTTTGTGTGAAGGTCCAGACAGTAAACATTTTGAAATTAATGAGCCACATACATCTGCTACATATTCCTTTTTGTTTCTAAACGAAATAAATACAGAAACCTTTGTTAGCTGACAGGCCATTAAAAATACAGAAACCTTTGTTAGCTGACAGGCCATTAAAAATACAGAAACCTTTGTTAGCTGACAGGCCATTAAAAAAAGTACAGAAACCTTTGTTAGCTGACAGGCCATTAAAAAAAGTAAGAGAACAGGCTCCACTTGTGATTTTTTTCCTTACTCAAATGGTAGCAAACCACATACATTGTCCTATTGCACTGTGCCTCTTTGGCCTATCAATAACTAAGATTGTTCCAATTTGGTACACAGGTTATCTGATTCATTTTTTAAATGGCTACATAATAATATATTCTATTATGTGGATGAATCATATTTTAATCAGAACCGTTAATGGACATTTTTAGTTGTTTCCAATCCTTTCCTATTCTTTAGCAATGCTGCAATGAATACACTTATACAAATGTCTTGGAGTGCATGTTCGTATTGTAGGATAAAATCCTACTCTCTGGCTACATCCTAGACACAACAAGAATTTATTAAGTGTTCAGTGACTTGAACGGAACTCAGATCCAGAAGTAGCCAAGTAAAGCTCTTTCTGTATTTGGGTTTGGAACCATATCTGAAGACCCATGATTATTAGTCCTGAAGAAGACAATCAGCATATTTAGGAAAAACTCAAGAACAAACTAAAAGGAGACGACTAAATTTTTACATTTTCCATATCTACCTAACCCAACTACACCTTTCTTTCCCATCCTACCACTGACTCCAATTCAAGTGCTGAGAACTAATAATGTCAATTCTAGTTATTTCAAAGACCCAATATTGGAAGAACTGAACATACCCTTTCTGAAGTTAAAGAACTGAAAATTTATATTGATCATTTCAGAAGCCCTCCCCTTCTTATTATTTCCTACTCATATGTACCTACCTGTTTGCAGGAGGAGACATATAATTCTTGTTGGTATATATTTCTTCTAAACTAAATTCCTTTTTCTTTAACCTGAAAAGAGAGTAAAATAAATTCATCATGTTTTCTTAAAAAAGATAAGATTGGCTTCCCAACTCTATCGTTTTTTTACTTTCAACCTTTCTATAATAAGTTTTAGACAAGTCTCATGTGAATAACAAGTACTGGATTTTCTTTTCCAATTTGCCATTCTTCAACTTTATGAAATTTAGTTCGTTTACACTTATTGGGAATGATATAATTGGATTTATGTCTATGATGTTATTTTACAGCTTTTTGTTCTAGCTTTTCAATGCTTCTTTTTGTTTCCTTTATTGACTGCCTCCCTCTCTGTCTCTCTTACACCCCTGACCAACTTAGAAATACACTCTTCTATTCTTTTAGTGGTTGGCAAGAATTTTAACGAGCATATTTAACTTAGAAACTGAAGTGCATCAATATTGTTGCCCTTCTTCCAAACAACACAAGGCCTCTGGAACTTCTAAGTCAGATCAATACTGTCCCAATATGTTATTAGTGTTCTATTTTGTCTCTTTTTATTTTGTAATTTATTTGTCGAAGAAACCAGGTCATTTGGCCTATGGCTTCCCTAATCTAGATTTTCTTGATTTCATCTACATGGTGTCATCTAACATGTTCCTCTGACCCAAGCATATGGGAAAAATACTACAGGTATTCCCTATAGATTGGCAATTGGATACAGAGGCATAATCAAATTTAGATGGTTCTGTTGGTGACAGGAGGATTTTTAGATGGTGGTGTATACTTCCATCTCGAGGGACATGAGGCCTGTTGTCACCATTTTTGTGACATTAATAGCCACTCCTAAACACTGATTATATTTATTATTTCTTTAGGGTTGTACATAGTGACGGTCTATCCTTCCTTCTTCATTCATTTGTTAGAATTCTTCTATCTAAATAGAAACTTCATGCTCATCAAGATTTTAGTAACCTTGTGGGCAGGCCGAATGGCTCAGTTGGTTCAGAGCTCGCTCAAGAGTGAGAGCTCTGAGTAACAGCGGTTCAATTCCTGGCCCAAGCTGAGCTGCCAACAGGTGGCAGGATCGTCAGCTTAAAAAAAAAAAGAGAAAAAAGATTTTGGTAACCTTGAGGTACAGTTTGCACAGGAAAGGCAGGTCGCATGTTTAGTTCTTTCCCTTTATTTACCAATTTCCAAAATAATTTATTGGTTCCCTAATATTGTCCAAATATAGCTAGTGAGGGTTGTTGTTTTTTTTTAAGTATCATTACAAACTATTGGATTTAAACATAATTGATGTGCTTCAATCTATTGTGGTTATTCCTTTTGATGCTCAGACTGTTTTCATCTATGGCTAGGGGGAGTTCCAAATTGGTTCCTGAATCTCTTTGACATGACCCAAGTAGTCTTTGAGAGCTCCATCTCCATCACTTTCTAGGATAAGATATTTTACACTTTCTAGGATAAGATATTTTACACTTATGTACATTTCCTGCCCTAGACCTGTAATGTCTTCAAGGAGTCCTGATTCACACACCATAATATTCAACCTTTTATTTATGTACACTCAATTTATTTGTTTATTGTTAATTTTTATTATAATGTAGAAGATAATAGCTTTAACCCTCAGGTCACCACTCTTAGGAGAAACTTATTTTCAGAGAATCTAACTTTATCATAAAAGAGCAAATCACTACAAAGTTTGTGCCTTAAACCTGTTTCAGATAAGACAAGGACTGCAGAGCTGGCAATTAACTTTTTGGCACCATGTTTTAGTCTCTTCCTGTTTCTGAAAATTTTAACTGAGGTTTAGTTTGGTTCAATTCTAATTCAACAAGAACATGCTTTCGAAAACTACACACAAATAATAACACAGATATGATTTTTCTTTTTTTTTTTCTTTTTTTTTTTTTTAAAACATTTTTATTGGGTATTGGGGGGATGGGAACAGTACTGGGGAATTAGGGGAAGGGGAACAGACAAGTTGCTGTCGTTTTGTTCTTCAATCTAGTTGTGGAGGACACTGCTTCACTGGC